GGATAATAATGTAAGTGTTCACAGTGAAAACCTGTACGAATAGGCTTCTGTATTCTATGGTTTCAGGCGCCAGCCTGAGCAGGTAACCAGCACGCTGGCATCCTGCTTTCACTGTGTGCGTACCCATATGCGTGTAACTCGTGTACACTCAGAAAAATCCCCACTCAGGCTCCGCTCTTACTTTCTGAGTGTAACTGCGTGTTCCTTTCTGCGTGTACAATCAAAAAAATTAATGCGTCATGTGTCCAAATTGTGACGCGCTCTCTGGATCACTCAGCACGTGTACAGAGCGGACGTAGGTAGCTTTGATACGCTGTTTTGCCGGACCCAATTGTGTCAGATGACCCACTTACAGAAGGGCAAAAAGTACATCGCTATTTCTACAAAGTGCCGCTCATTTCTATGAGTATAAGCTAGTGACGTGAGCTAGTAACTTGAGACTTAACTAAACGAGTCTTATGCTAGCAAATTTATTGCATCATAGAACTAACCCGGCTATTATATTAGTGCGTTCGGAAACCGTCGTGGAATTTTTCATGTAATGCGTGTGCTAAAATTGTTGTTGTGATGCTCGTTTGAGTAATACTAAGTTTCCAAGTGAAGTGTTCTATATATATAGTTGAGCTTCTATTATATATAGAGTTGAGCTTCTTGTTATATATAGGATCGTCTCGTATCCAACGGTTCATCGGACCTCGAACGAATCTTAGATCCATTTAATCAATATGCCATTAAACAATTAAACAACGGTAGTTGAAAAAATGTTGAATTCACGTGTATTTAAGCTAGAAACGTTTAATTCAACGCTTTATGTAGGATGGGTAGATGTGTTATTCCCACTAATGTATTAGTAACATGTGGCGGGCTGCAATGCTTGTTTGTTACTAAAACAATGTCATAATTTGCTGTGTAATAAATAAAAAAGTAGAAAATTCAGCTCCGATGAGACTCGGGAGTGACTCTGTGTGTCAGCTAATCTATATGATACTAATTTTGTGTCACTAGCGTTATGTCCCTAGCGTTGTGTCACTAAAGATGTGTCACTAGCCACTAGCGTTGTGTCACTAACTGCATCACTAACGTTGTGTCACTAACCATGTGTGCAGCGTCTGAGCCGAACATCTGCCTGAAGGCGCGTCTCAAACAAAGGGTCATAGAGAGGCGCTCGTCTCCTATCACCAGGCGCAAGGACAAACCAGGCGTCATCAAAAGACGCCTGCCACATTCCGGTAAGGCTTTAAGTAACTATATTTAAAATAACTACCATATATCTATAAACACCCAACCAATCACCGATTAAAAACCAGGCGTCGTCAAAAGACCCCTGCCACATTCTGGTAAGGCTTTAAGTAACTATCTTTAAAATAATTACCATAAATCAATTAATAACCAACCAATCACCGATTAAAACACGTGCGCTGCGGTACATCTAAGAATTTATCCAAGCAAGACGCCTCAATGTGCGGTCAATTCTTGTCTCTGTCGAAGTCTCTGCCTGTAATCTCTGCACGAGCTGCTGGTGCGAGGGCAGAGGCTGGCTAGCTGCTCTCCGTGCAATGTATTCGATATTTGCAACTAACTGCATCACTAACGTTGTGTCACTAACCATGTTCGCAGCGTCTGAGCCGAACATCTGCCTCAAGGCGCGTCTCAAACAAAGGGTCATAGAAAGGCGCTCGTCTCCCATCACCAGGCGCAAGGACAAGCCAGGCGTCATCAAAAGACGCCTACCACATTCTGGTAAGGCTTTAAGTATCTATATTTAAAATAACTACCATATATCAATAAACAACCAACCAATCACCGATTAAAAGCCAGGCGTCATCAAAAGACGCCTGCATGCCACATTCTGGTAAGGCTTCAAGTAACTATATTTAAAATAATTATCATAAATCAATAAACCACTTACCTATCACCGATTAAAACACGTGTGCTGCGGTACATCTAAGAATTTATCCAAGCAAGACACCTCAATGTATGCGGTCAATTCTTGTCTCTGTCGATGTCTCTGTCTGTAATCTCTGCACGAGCTGCTGATGCGAGGGCAGAGGCTGGCTATCTGCTCTCCGTGCAATATATGCGACGTTTGTGTATAATATTATTCCGGTGGTGTCTGTTGCACTGTTTTTTATGGAGTGTTTCTTATAATTCATTTGAAGCAAAACGACTGTGATGATGAAGGTAATGAAAATACAACAAGTGGACGAGATTATCCTGTGCAAAAAGTTGAAAAGATGTCATTTATATTTCAATAAAGTTGATTATTTTGTATGACACTTGATTCATGACTGGAATCTATGAGTGGCTAACTGGTGCCACAGCTGAGTGGCTAACTGGTGCCACAGCTGAGTGGCTAACTGGTGCCACAACTGAGTGGTTAACTGGTGCCACAGCTGAGNATGACTGGAATCTATGAGTGGTTAACTGGTACCACAGCTGAGTGGCTAACTGGTGCCACAGCTGAGTGGCTAATTGGGATCACAGCTGAGTAACTAACTGGTACCACAGTTCAGTGGCTAACTAGTACCACAGTTCAGTGGCTAACTGCTACCTCAACTGAGTGGCTAACTGGTACTCCAGCTGAGTGGCTAACTTGTGCCTTGAACTAAGTGCATAAAACTTACCACAACTGATATACCACAATTGATGTCTGGTACCACAACTGATGTTTTGTGCAATAACTGCAGACTTGCACCGTACCTGCTAACTGGCACACCCCTCCTCCCCCCCGGCAGGTGTGGACAGCTGTTCCACCCCCGACAGTGGGCAGAGTTCTCCCCCTAACGGCATCCCCACGTCACGGTCATCCTCAGGGTCCACCCCCATCAATGAGGAACTTGGGGCAGGACAGACGAGCAGCGCCGCGTACAGCTCACTGGACGGGGGGAGTTCAGACCTGACGCTTTATTCTTCCCCATCTCTCCCCAACATCTCTCTTGGGCGCCCGCCCCATACGTCGCAACAGGTGCTTGTTCTGAACTTGACTGTCTGCTTTGTTTGTTTGTTTGATTTTTATTGTTTACTTTATTTAGATCTTTGTTGTTTACATTATTATGTAAACTTGACTGCCTGCTTTGTTTTGTCTTTGTTGGTTACTTTATTTGGATCTTTGTTGTTTACATTTTTATGGAAACTTGACTGTTTACTTTACTTGGATCTTTGTTGTTTACATTTTTATGTAAACTTGACTGTCTGCTTTGTTTGATCTTTGTTGTGTACTTTATATGAATCTTTATTGTTTACTTTACTTTTATCTTTGTTGTTTACTTTATTTTCATCTTTGTTATTTACTTGATTTGGATCTTTGCTGTTTACTTTATTTTGATCTTTGTTGTTTACCTTATTTGGATCTTTGTTGTTCACTTTACCTGGATCTTTGCTGTTTACTTTACTTGGATCTTTGTTATTTACTTTATTTGGATCTTTGCTGTCAACTTAGTTTGATTTTTGCTGTTTACTTTATTTGGATCTTTGTTGTTCACTTTATTTAGATCTTTGTTGTTTACTTTATTTTGATCTTTGTTGTTTACTTTATTTGTATCTTTGTTGTTTACTTTATTTTGATCTTTGTTGTTTACTTTATTTGGATCTTTGCTGTTTACTTTAATTGGATCGTTGTTATTTACTTTATTTGAACCTTTGCTGTTTACCTTTTTTTTGGATCTTTGTTGTTTACTTTATTTGGATCTTTGCTATTTACTTTACCTGGATCTTTGCGTTTTACTTTATTTTGATCTTTATGTCTGCTTTGTTTGGTCTTTGTTGTTTACTTTACTTGGATCTTTGCTGTTTACTTTACTGGGATCTTTGTTGCTTACTTTGTTTGGTCTTTGCATGCTGTTTACTTTATTTGGATCTTAGTTGTTTACTTTACTTGGATCTTTGTTGCTTACTTTGTAATTGGTCTTGCTGTTTACTTTATTTGGATCTTTGCTGTTTACTTTATTTTGATCTTTGTTGTTTACCTTATTTGGATCTTTGTTGTTTATTTTATTTGGATCTTTGCTGTCAACTTAGTTAGATTTTTGCTGTTTACTTTATTTGGATTTTTTTGTTTATTTTATTTGGATCTTTGTTGTTTACTTTATTCGGATCTTTGCTGTTTACTTTACTTGGATCTTTGTTATTTACTTTATTTGCATCTTTGCTGTCAACTTAGTTTGATTTTTGCTGTTTACTTTATTTAGATCTTTGTTGTTCACTTTACCTGGATCTTTGTTGTTTACTTTATTTGGATCTTTGTTCTTTACTATGTTTGGATCTTTGTTGTTTACTTTATTTGGATCTTTGCTGTTTACTTTACTTGGATCTTTGTTATTTACTTTATTTGAATCTTTTCTGTTTACTTTATTTGGATCTTTTTTGTTTACTTTATTTGGATCTTTGTTTACTTTATTTGAATATTTGCTGTCTACTTTGTTTGGATATTTGCTGTCAACTTTATTTGATCTTTGTTGGTTACTTTATTTGAATTTTGTTATCTATACTTAATTTATTCTTTGCTGCCACTTTTATCTAATCTATGCTCTCTGCTTTATTTGCTTCTAGTTCATCGATGTTTACAACTGAGGTTATTTATTGTGTGATAAACAAGTGGGACGAGCTAGTTTTTACGTTCGTTTGAACGAAAAAATATAACTTTTTTCATATGGTGTCTAAATTGCCATATGTCAGTACCTATTACTGTAGTGAAGTAAACCCGAATAATTTATTTACTGGATTTTTCACAATAAATATTTTGTTCATCATATTCCCACGAATCGTTCTGAGTACAAACAGTATACACTTGGATGTGATCGAATCGTTCTGAGTACAGACAGTATACACTTGGATGTGATCGAATCGTACTGAGTACAGACAGTATACACCTGGATGTGATCGAATCGTTCTGAGTACAGACAGTATACACTTGGATGTGATCGAATCGTACTGAGTACAGACAGTATACACTTGGATGTGATCGAATCGTTCTGAGTACAAACAATACACATAATTGGATGTGATTTAGTACACTCAGACAGCGATGCACTGCACATCTGAACTGCTGTCTTGTGTGTACAAGCCATGCAGTGTACTCCGTCCTAAACGTCGTAGTATATACATTGTCTGCGTTCTTATTTCTCTTTATTCTTTGTATTGTCTTTCTCTATCGTGCATTGTTAGCACTACTGCAGCATATCAAAGAAGCATCAGCTCGAAAGATAGTGAATATAAATAGTTAAATAAAGATATAGTGAAAAGTGAATAAGAAAGAAAGATAGTGAATAAAGATAGTGAATAAAGATAGTGAATAAATATAGTGAATAAAGATAGTGAATAAAGATAGTGAATAAAGATAGTGAATATATTCGTAGATAGTTACTACGAAAAATGGTGCTTTACGCTTTAAAATCCATCATGCCACATGTTGAGCACCCTGACTGGTGGCGATGGCTCTGAATATGTATAATCAAATCATATACTGTTCAATAAGAACTTTAAAGTTTATATTAACGATTAAAATAATTGCCTCCTGTTGCTTTTAATATTCGAAGAAGGCATGAATACATTGTCCACGCACTCCTTCATGATTCGTACACATGCGACAGCAGCTACTTTTATCTGCCTGTCGAATACAATATATAATATTCCTGACATCGTAGCTTATTTCAAACAAACTCAAAACCTAATGTTCATGTTATCTTCTTTATTAATGAGTTTGATGCAAGTATTTTCATTTTGCTTATGACTGATCCTCAATCGCCGTTTCGTCTTTACCGTTGCCAACAGAAAGCGTACCTATTTCATTTCCGATGTGGGAATGAAATCAACTCAAATGCATATAGGGCTTTCTCCGACGCTTCATAGCAGCGTAGTTTGTAAAGAAGATTTTCTTTCATTATCTTCTTCAAAAGGATTAAAATACTGGGATCGTAATTGTGTACAAAACTTGAGATGTCCTCGATTATTCACGATGCAGTTGATGTCGTCGCCTGCCTTATTTGCATGCTTGAAGCTTGACATTCAAACATCAACGCTCAACAAACGTTAGAAACACTTACCCTTGCATCCGGAATCCATTCATTTTTTATTCATTCTAGGTACTCTCTTTTCACTTGCTCATCGCATTTCTGGTGTATACTGGTTTACTGTAATTCAACTATATGGAAGCGAGTCTTCTTGGAAATTCTCTTTTGGAGAGTTCCCTTTAAATGTTTATGAATAGTAAAAATTTATTTAAATTTTTAGAACAATCCCCTAAAAGCCTTATCTTTCCCCTGTATTTTGATTGTCTTCTTGCGCAATTCTGTTACATTTTAGTAAAATTAAATATATTTCAACCTATTAACAATAGCATTCGTTTCTCGTTTTTTACAATACCGTCTCGTGCAAGTGTGCTGCAATGCTCACACGAGTGCATGGAGCTGTTGATGTCTGCGTCTGTTATAATTGTGGCACAAAAAAGAAGAGCATTTATAATTGAAAATCCCGTTACGTTCTCTTGCATTTTTCTTATAATTTACGCTGGGGCTTGGCCGAAAAGGGTGTCCCAGTGGGGGACAGTTCAAAGTACCAATATTGGAGCACTGAGCTGCGCATTCGAAATCCCAGTCTTCTGTAATAATTCTGCGATGTCTAGAACAGGCCAAATTTGCATATTCAACCCTGACTCGATTGTTCGTGTCATTACTCTTTTACTATCATTATTGATATTGTTATTACCCTCACTCTTGTTATCACTATTACTAGTATTTCTATTATTATCACCATCTCAATCATTATTACTATCACTATTGCTATTATTATCACCATCATTATTATCACGACTATTATATATAATTGACCGCCATGGCGGCAGGACGGCATGAAGCTGTCGATGGTGTCAGAGGCTGACGGCCGAGGACTATTATTACTATTACCAACATTATCATTATCGCCATCATTACCATGACTATTATGTATAATTGTTCCCCGTGCCCCCAGGACGGCATGAAGCTGTCGATGGTGTCAGAGGCTGACGGCCGAGGACTATTATTACTATTACCAACATTATCATTATCGCCATCATTACCATGACTATTATGTATAATTGTTCCCCGTGCCCCCAGGACGGCATGAAGCTGTCGATGGTGTCAGAGGCTGACGGCCGAGGACTATTATTACTATTACCAACATTATCATTATCGCCATCATTACCATGACTATTATGTATAATTGTTCCCCGTGCCCCCAGGACGGCATGAAGCTGTCGATGGTGTCAGAGGCTGACGGCCGAGGACTATTATTACTATTACCAACATTATCATTATCGCCATCATTACCATGACTATTATGTATAATTGTTCCCCGTGCCCCCAGGACGGCATGAAGCTGTCGATGGTGTCAGAGGCTGACGGCCGAGGACTATTATTACTATTACCAACATTATCATTATCGCCATCATTACCATGACTATTATGTATAATTGTTCCCCGTGCCCCCAGGACGGCATGAAGCTGTCGATGGTGTCAGAGGCTGACGGCCGAGGAGAGGAAGACGAGGCGTCAGCTGCACCCCTCCGCCGCGAGTTGTCCATGACAGGGCACATGTTGCCCTCCACCCTGCCATACTACCCCTCCCTGCCTGGTGAGTGGTACTACTACCCCTCCCTGCCTGGTGAGTGGTGCTACTACCCCTCCGTTCTTGCCACATCATAATTCGCTATTTTTCTTCACATGCGAATTTTACAAATCAAAATCTTTTTATATACTAGACAATTCAGTATAACTCCTTTCTTGCCACATCATAATTCACTACTTTCTTCCCTTGCGAATTTTACAAATTAGAATCTTTTAATGTATTAAATTATTTTTATAATTTTTTCCGTACATTTGTCCTCCGCAGTGTCCATCCTGGAAGGCTCGTGCTACCCCACAGCGGCGCGGCTGTCGATGGTCATGCCAGGGATGGACGGCGGCCACCACCTGCTCTCCCACGCCCACTACCCGCCCCCGCCCGCCGTGTCCATCGCTGACGTCCAGGTCCGTCATGTCCTCCATGTCCTCCTCCATGTCCTCCATGTCCTCCATGTCCTCCATTTCCTCCTCCACGTCCTCCATGTCCTCCTCCATGTCCTCTCCCATGTCCTCTCCCATGTCCTCCTCCATGTCCTCCTCCATGTCCTCCCCCATGTCCTCCGCCATGTCCTCCTCCATGTCCTCCTCCATGTCCTCCGTCATGTCCTCCTCCATGTCCACCTCCATGTCCACCTCCATGTCCTCCTCCATGTTCTCCATGTCCACCTCCGCGTCCTCCATGTCCACCTCCATGTCCTCCATGTTTTCCTTCCCTTTAATCTTCTTATCATCAATTAATACAATTGATCCATTAATGCCTCCATTAATCACAATGCCACTATTGTCACATCCTTCTGAACTCAAATATTGTTCACCATTAAAGTAAGTAATTGTTTACACGTGATTCATTGTTTGTTGTTTTAAGTGGGTTTTTTTACGCTGTTCTTTCTACGAGGTACATAGCAAGAGAATTGCTGACAACATTTCTGGCTTTTTATGTTCATTTTTAGCTTGATCTGTTCATTTCTGGCTTGATTTGTTCATTTCTGGCTTTCAAACAGTGACGATAATCAAGTTAATATTGAATGATGTTAAAATGTAACAAGATTCATGTGTTGTTCTTCAACACAATATAAATGTTCTGTTCAATTAGCATTAAATTTTGTTCTTGCTGCATCTCTCTTCCGCGCACACTTTACTTTGATTTCGGGTACAAAAGGGGGAACTAAACTTAACTCTACATTTCCATATTTAAATATGAAAATACCATCCACGTTTTTATTTCTCTTGGGATTCTGTGGTAACGGTATTTATGACAGTTACACTATTACACTAGTATTCCTTTACGAAGCTTTACATTGCAACCTATTTTCCTCTTTGATCATACGATTGCTACTACGCTAAGATTCCTACGACAAATTAGCGTATTTACATGAGAATAGTCTCACGACTGTATATAATATAAGTAGTCGTCTTTCGGTTTATCACGACTGAGCAATGTATATACCTATATAATGTGTACACGGATTGTCGGACAAAGATGATTGCCGGAAAAGGCAATTGCTGGAAAAGGTGATTGTCGGCAGAAGAGAGATGGCCCGAAAAAGCGAGTGCCGGATAACGGTGATTGCTAAGCAAACTTCTACATAAAAACCTTCACATTCTTATCATGAGTTTACGGAAGCAAGTAATAAGGATGGAATGATTGACACAGACAAAGCCATGAAATAATTATCGTTGTGAAAGAATATTAATATCAATTACTATTGATTTAATAATAGCTGGTAAATATTCAATGAAGGCACAATCAGAGTCAACTTTGAAATCGATGTCGAAATTAAATCGATCTTGACTACGAAATTTCATACGGTAATGGTTGATGATTAACATGTCCTCAAAATGAGTGTCAGCGTAACCATCAACATGATTATCAACATGACCATCATTATGATCATAATTAATTAGGGCCGAATAAACCGAAGTATCCAGCGGCCACTGGGACGCACCCAGTCCGCCCCCCTGCCGCTGGGGCACCCTATGCTGCAGGGGGGCAACCCCCCCGCCTTCCTTCCCCCCAGCCTGCAGTTCGACCCCAACCTTCCCCTGGAACACAACCTCGTCAAGCAGGTTAGTGGACACACTTTACCCATCACTGGAGGTATATTCTTATATTACTATTATTATCATTGTTATTATTATTATTATTGTCATTATTATTATTATTATTATTATTATTGTTAGTATTATCATCATCATTATTATTATTTTTATTGTTATTAATATTATTATTGTCATTATTATTATTATTATTGTTATTGTTGGTGGGGGTATTCTAAAGCGTAGGGAAGGTTAAATTCAAGTCAATATTTATTTATTACTTCAGGTTACACATCTTTATAAATGTAAATTTTATTGGTATAGGCAAGAATAAATGCAAATCAATATCAATGATGCCTGAGGCATATTTATTTGCTATTATGTTATTTCAGGAATAGACAAGATTAAATTCAAGTCAATATTCATTTTGTAAATTAATTTAATGAAGGTTACATTCATTCATTATGGGATACTTTGATGAATGAAAAAATGTTACAAAATATTTTTTAGACATTTGAACCGTAACGATGAAAGTTGCTACGAAAAATCCACTTCGGGCTATGTCATAGTGTCATCTTGTAGAGATACGGGAAGTCAAACATAACAATTAACACCGAAGTCTGTTATACGCTATTAGAAAATATGGACACGTGAAGACAAAAGTCTATAATGGTATATTTAAGAACAGTGCGCGTGCCAACGCTCTTGAACAAAAGTCTATATTAGTTACGCAATATAAATGCAATGGTTAATTAAGGAGTGGGTTGATAGATAAGATAGGTTAGGTTGATATCGCCCGTACAGGCATGTCTTAAGGCAATTGTATGACACGCGTGCAATACGTATAATGCGAACATAATGTGAATGTTTCATGAAATTCAGGAATGAAGTTCGTGCCATAGCATTTGTATGGCGTGCGTGCAGAATAAATAGAGGGAAGTTAACATCATGCCACTTAGTTAACATCATGCCACTTAGTTATCATCATGCCACTTAGTTATCATCATGCCACTTAGTTATCATCATGCCACTTAGTTAACATCATGCCACTTAGTTAACATCATGCCACTTATATGACACACGTGCAGCATGTATACAGGGAGGTTAACATCATGCCACTTAGTTAACATCATGCCACTTAGTTATCATCATGCCACTTATATAACACACGTGCAGCACGTATACAGGGAAGTTAACAACATGCCATATAACACACGTGCAGCACGTGCGCAAGACGGTGCTGACGCGCACGAGCAGCAAGTCGCACGTGGAGAATGTCGAGGAGGAGACGGACGCTGCCGTGGCCCAGGCCATCGCCCCGGACACGCGTGTCCCACTGCCCGCCCAGGTACGCTGGGCACTGGCCCCTCTAGTGCTGGGCACTGGCCCTCCTAGTGGTGGGCACTGGCCCTCCTAGTGGTGGGTGCTGGCCTAGTGCTGGGCACTGGCCCTCCTAGTGGTGAGCGCTGGGCTAGTGCTGGGCGCGGCACTGGCCCACCTAGTGGTAGGTGCTGGCCTAGAGCTGGGCTGGGCAAGCTGGCCCTAACTAGTGGTGGGTGCTGGCCTAGTGCTGGGCTGGGCCAGCTGGCCTAGTGACCCACCAAGTACTAGGCTGGGCACCGGCCCACCTATAGTATTGAGCCTTATCTCACCTAGTGCCAAGATCAAACCATTAACAATTTTGCTGCCCAACTAGCAAGCCGTTATGTTCAACCGTACCAGGGCTAGTTATATGTATCACTTTAGGATCTAGTTTAAGCGTAAAAATTCTTCTATGTGTTATTGTTCTGGATGCTCATCTTTTTTGCTGAACCCTAACACTGAACTTGGATCGGTTATCGCGGGTAAGACGTCAATAAAGACTTAGTTTTTTATGTCGTCTTTCGGTTTCGTTATTTTTACAGTGTTTCGGTTATTGTCTGGCATTGAGCGTCGCATTTTCGTACTTCTGTTTGTTCCCTGTCTGATGAGTTTGATATTGAATTGTCATTTTCTCGATTTTATTAGGATTTGCCCACGCTCTGTGGTTGCCTTCATCTGAATAATACCTAATTTGCCTCAACTGTTCACGCTAAAAGTTTGAAAACGTATTTTCTTATTTATTCCATCACCGCGATTGTTTCAAGTTGCATATGCACATCAACAAATTATGTATTATTAGTCATTTCCGTATTTTTACGACTTTTTTATTCCGATAACCGACCGCACACACTCTGCTGCTCACGGATAAATAATGAGCTATTTATCACTCAGGACGTTGAGGCCGAGAATTTGGTCGCCAATGTGGAGGTGAGAAACACTGGTCTGTGATTTGAAAATAATTTTGAAAATGCTTGCGATGTCAACTCAGCGTGCAATACGTTGCTGCGTTCAGTAGTAGTAGTAGTAGTATTCATATTAGTATTAATATTAGTAGTTGTAGAATTAGTAGTAATATTCGTTTAGTAGTACACAAAGCTTTAAGAATAGAATATATGCTTAAGAATTTGTTGCTTACATAACGTTTGGAATATCCGTTCCGTTATCATGCGCATCCGTTATCATGCGCATGAATGTTCGGCGCGATTTTTGTCAGTAGCTGCTCAGCAGGCTGAAATCTCATGGATTCTTGATGCTAACGATTGAAATCGAGACGCTTCTTACTACAAAAATAATGAAGATATGCTTCCTAGCTAGTGTTTGTGTAGAAAAATTGCTAGAGGCTTCATTGTTCTCCGTTAGATGTGTTTTTTGTTGTACAATCTCTGACAGATATTTGCTTCTTCATCTGCATTAAGAAAGATTGTAAATCTATTTTGCTGAATAATTTTTATTTGCCATCGTACTATTCTGTAAAATGTGTTCTGTTCCTATAAAATTATCTCTAAATTTCGTAGTCCTGAATTTTGTTACTCCTAAGTTACCCTTTAAAATATTAAAAATTTTCGTACCGAGTTGTAATAGTAGCGTAATATGATATGCTTCGCAGCTTGTGTAATATCAGAAACTACAGTTCAAGAAGTTAACATGGTTAAACTCCACTGCTGCTGTAAATAGTTATATATGTTATGCGTATTAGGTTTTTTCGATGCGTTCAATTGCAATGTTGCGCACGGAAATGCATGAATAGTGCAATCTCTCTGTATATGCACTCCTGTTAGCTATATACATGTACCACGACCGACATAGCTGACGTACATTCTCTTGCCAGACTGTTTTCATGTATCGACTTTACAAGACTTCATATAATATTTCTCTTTTTCCTGAAATCCTTGGGTACAAGCCTTTATTCTTTACTTTTTATAGTCCAAGCTTGTGATCATAGAAATCTCTTAACTTTACAGCTTAATTGCTGATTCAGTGATGCGGGCTATTTACTTATCTCTGGTGCACTTACCCTGCTTGGCGTTGATCGTTGGCTGCTTCTGGTCCTTCTGCTCAACTATTCTTTGTCTTGTTCTCATTATTTTAAGTTTTGTGGGTATTGGGTTAGATTTAATAACATGGTCATGCGGTAATCGGATTTTTATTAATCGCGTTCGAGGTGACTTCACTTTTTAAGCTCACTTGTGCTTCTTCTAAATAAAATTTCATACAATCGTTTCATGTACTTATGATTTTTAATTGTGTCGAGTCGAAATGATTAATTGATCATCATATTTTAGACCACAGGACTCTATTATTGGCAAATTATGAACTAAGAAGACAAATATTCAGTTAATAGTGTAAAAGTATCGAATATTTTTTGAACCCATTACTGAAATCCATTAATTTTAATTTTCGTTCATTTTCGTTGAGATTTGCAAAGCTACTTTAGATCAGTAAGGAATGATTAATGAAGTATTTTTTACAATACAACCGTATGTTTCATTTTGAAATTAGATTGTGAAACTCAATTAGACTGTGTGAGTCAGAAAGTCAATTCGAGTGTGAATTCAAAAAATTTTTTTACTGCGAGCGATGCGAAATGTTAAGTTATATTATTAATATAGTTATATTCATAGTTATATTATTAATTGGTAATATGGAAAAATATGACATTTTTTAATGTATAATTATACTGTAAAAGCAAAGGTTTTCATTTGACAGCGCGTGATGGAGCTGCCGAGCACCATGCGCAGCTACGGCGGCCTCGAGAGCCGCCTCTCCAGAGCACCCATGTCCCACAGAGAGATACTCGCTGCCAGGCTTAGTGCTGCAGGTAATGTCTACACTCGTGTTGACTANGTAAGGCGTGTTGCTTTCACCATGTGGGCACTCGTGCTGCTATTTACGTTGGCGCCTACATCTACGAAACATGTTAACGAAAATTTTATTTTAAAACAGGGACAGTATAATCTCTTAACAAACTGTTTCAAAATTTATTGTTTTTTGAAAGTGAAAGAATAATACTACGCAATTAAGTGGTTAATTTTAGCGTTGGTAGAGGTCAGACATGAGGTCAAAAGTGAAACATGGTTTTTTGAAACATTGTTATTATCTCCGTCTTATTTTCATTAATATTAGAAATACGAATAAATTAGAATAAGTTAGAATAAGAAATAAGTAAGACTGAGAATGCTTTATCATTTTCTTGTCGCTTATAGACTTCACAGGCTCGTCTCCAAGAATCCCGCATAATAACGATCCCAAAAATCACTTTAGGTGTTCACTTCACAGGCTCGTCTTCGAACATCTCGCATAGTACCGATCCCACAAATCACTTTAGGTCTTCACTTCACAGGCTCGTCTTCAAACATTCCGCATATAAACGGTCCCACAAATCACTTTAGGTGTTCACTTCACAGGCTCGTCTTCGAACATCCCGCATATTAACGATCCCACAAATCACTTTAGGTGTTCACTTCACAGGTTCGTCTTCGAACATCCCGCGTTCGGGCACTCACATCGCCAGGCCGCTGTCTCGCGCGCAGAGCTCGCCTCTGGTCACGCTCAACGCGGTCGTTCAAGAACCACCGCATTTTTCTAATAAAAAGGTGCCTATTTGACAATAAAATAAAAATCTTGTTAATAAAAAGTTATAGCCTATTTTATTATATTATAGCCTATTTTTCATACCATGGACGCTGGATTATTTTTACGCTATTATTATCTCAAATGTCCACACATGATGTTTTATTGGCGAGTTGGAATTATCTGAAAACTTCTTACTGATACGTGACCATTAATGCTGTGTGTTGAAAGGGTGAAAATGTGTTCGAATTATTTAAATGATCGAGCAAATTCTAATGTAACATAACAGTTTTACGAAAATTCCAAGAGCCTTGCAAATGATGCAAAAAAATAGAACTATGAACAGAGAAGGGGGTTGACGACTGGGTTTCAATACGAAAATAAATTCAGAGATATTATTTATAAAATAATGAACATAATCATCAGGGCGCGACGACTCTGTTTGAGTACGAAAATAAGTACAAAGATATTACTTATAATAGAATGAACATAACAATCAGGGCACGACGACTGGGTTTGAGTACGAAAATGAGTACAAAGATATTACTTATAATAAAATGAACATAACCATCTGGGCGCGACGACTGGGTTTGAGTACGAAAATGAGTACAAAGATATAACTTATAATATAATGAGACAGGGTTAACTACGAAAATAAGTAGGTACAAATATATTACTTATAATAAACATAACAATTAGGGCGCGACGACTGGGTTTGCGTACGACAGCCTGATGCAGAAACATCAATGCATCTGCGGCGACAACTCGCAGCATCCTGAGCATGGGGGGCGCCTGCAGGCGGTGTACACTCGTCTGCAGGACACGGGGCTCTCGCTCGCCTGCCATCGTATACACGCCAGGAAGGCTACGCTTGAGGAAATACGCTCGTGTCATAGTGAAGCTCACACCTTACTTTTTGGTGAGCTATGCAGGATTTTGTATACAATTTTATCTAATATTATGTAATAAAATCGNCAGGAAGGCTACGCTTGAGGAAATACGCTCGTGTCATAGTGAAGCTCACACCTTACTTTTTGGTAAGCTATGCAGGATTTTGTATACAATTTTATTTAATATTGTGTAATAAAATCATTTACTTTTTTGGTTATTAATGCATGAATTATGTGTGTAGTTTTATTTAAAATATTTTATTTACTGTTCTGTAAATCCTTTATTCATCAAACTCATGTTAACGTAAAGTTATATAATATTTATTAGTCTTTATTATGGAGTTAACTTGCAGCAGTGATTTTTCTCTTGTTACAGCACAAATTTTGTCGCTAGCTTACATTTACGGTTGAAAACGTAGTTTATTTGTTGACCGGTTGTTGTTGAATCATTAAAACATTCATTTTACTCTGTAATCATTATATCTTTCATGGTAATCTCTGCAACAATTATATCATTCACGTTACTTCCTGCAATCCTTGTATCTCTCATGATACTCTCTGCACAAATTATATCCTTTATTTTACTTCCCGTAATCATTATATGTTACATGATACTCTCTGCACAAATTATATCCTTTATTTTACTTCCCGCAATCATTATATGTTACATGATACTCTCTGCACAAATTATATCCTTTATTTTACTTCCCGACAGGAAGGCTACGCTTGAGGAAATACGCTCGTGTCATAGTGAAGCTCACACCTTACTTTTTGGTGAGCTATGCAGGATTTTGTATACAATTTTATCTAATATTATGTAATAAAATCGTATACTTTTTTGGTGAGCAATGCAGGAATTTTGTATACAATTTTATTTAATATTATTCTGAAGATCGTGTACTTTTTTGGTGAGCAATGCATGAATATACTATATAATTTTATTAACCATTCTGTAGATCATTTATTCAACTAACTCATGTTAAAGTAAAATTATTCATTATTTATTATAGAGTTTACTTGCAAAGGTGATTTTTCTCTTGTCATAGATAAATTTTATCGCTAGCTTACATTCACGGTTGAAAACGTCGTTTATTTGTTGACCGGCACGAGCTGTATTAGTATTCGTTTTTGAAGTTAGTATTCGTTTTTGAAAACGCCACACAACGTCAATACCAACCCACTTTGTTATTTCGTGAAGAACCTCTGGGTAGGTGACCACTGGCTTCTGATGAGCGATGTATTGTGATAGATGATGCATTGATGCTGCTAAGGATCAAGTAATTAAACGTGAAAATTTCTCCCTGAAATCATTTTATGATTTTTGTCATAAATCATAAATGCCGCCAGGAACGAGTCCTCTTGAACGCCATTCCCTGGACATTAATTACAAGTTAATGTTTCACTTTCAAACCTTGTGCATGTCATATCCGTCGGCAGCCTGACCCGCTTCAGTCGCTAGCTAGCATGTCAATGTTTTTCCCCATAATCTTATCATTCACGTTACTTCCCGCAATCGTTATGTTTCATGGTGCTCTCTGCAATAATGATATCATTCATGTTACTTCCCGCAATCATTATATCTTTCACGTTACTTCCCGCTATCATTATATCTTTCACGTTACTTCCCGCATTCATTATATCTTTCACGTTACTTCCCGTAATCTTTATATCTCTCATGGTTCTCTCAGCATTAATTATATCATTCACGTTAGTTCCCGTAATCATTATATATCTTTTGCTACTCTAAGCACTAACTATATCATTAATGTGTGCAGGCACAAGTCCCCTGAACCGGCAGTCGCTGGACATGAGCAAGCTGGCCGAGTTGCCGCTGAAGAGCTTCGTGCGGCTGCATCAATTACGTATGTTGAATTTTTATGTTAAATAATTTTATGTCAGAAATAGCAGCTCAACCATACGTTGCTGATAATATCTGACAATATCCCGTCCTTCCTTATCCCAGTTTCCGTTAAATTCTTGCTTTTGAAACACTAACTTTTTATCATTGAAAAAAAGTTCTCGATTGCCATATTTTTTTCTCGATTGTTATCCAATTCGCTCTTCCCGTTTTACAAAGCCTTACAATTCCGCCACTACAACCCCTGGTGATGTTGACACGATAAGTATTATGAAAACGCTCTCTTATTGCTGCTTTAATGCATTTACAAACACGATAAGTATAGTGGATATGCGCCCAAACAGTCCCTGCACGTTCACTGTTCACGACGCCTGGCTACCAACACTAAAACTATTAACTGAACAAACACAAACTTTTACTAATACAGTATAATGATTATGATTGTTAAGCGTGGTTTAAGTTTCTTGCAAGCCTCCCGGTGTTTGTTTAGTCCCCCAGTGGCCGCGGATATAATAGAGTAGCGCGGTTCAAGTTTAATGCAGGTGCTTCAGTGAGTTTGGTCCCCCAGTGGCAACGGATATATTAGCGTGGTTCAAGTTCCATGCAAGCTTTTCACCGTTAGTTTGGTCCCCCAGTGGCGACGGATATAATATATTAGCGCGGTTCAAGTTCCATGCAAGCTTTTCACCGTTAGTTTGGTCCCCCAGTGGCGACGGATATAATATATTAGCCTGGTTCAAGTTTCATGCAAGCTTTTAACCGTTAGTTTGGTCCCCCTGTGGCAACGGATATAATATATGAGCGTGGTTCAAGTTCCATGCAAGCTTTTCACCGTTAGTTTGGTCCCCCAGGGGCAACGGATATAATATATGAGCGTGGTTCAAGTTCCATGCAAGCTTTTCACCGTTAGTTTGGTCCCCCAGGGGCAACGGACATAATATATTAGCGTGGTTCAAGTTTCATGCAGGTTTTTCAGTGTTAGTTTGGTCCCCCAGTGGCAACGGGGGAGCTGCAGAACGGCTTCGCGCTCGTCAGGCCGCCCGGCCACCACGCAGAGCAACAGACCGCCATGGGCTTCTGCTTCTTCAATTCAATCGCTATCGCAGCGCGCCAGCTGCAGCACAAACTTAACGTCGAAAAAATACTTATACTTGACTGGGTGAGATAAGAGTAACATTATCACTTGTCTATGTGAGATAAACATTTTACTGTGAAATAGACATTATTTTACTTATATTTGCGCTGAATATGTCAGACGTGAGCGATATTCGAGTTTGGTAGCGTTGACTGAGTGAGTTAAGCATTAGATATTGTTAGCATTTATTAATTACACTTACACTTGATTAACTTCGTGGCAGGATTAATATGTTGGAATAGTATAGAGTATTGTATACTTCTGCATTTTAGAAAAAATGGTACAAAAAGAGAACTGTTCAACAAGCTGGATGTCTCAGACATTTTTAAAACAGAATTTTATGTGCAATATCAAAACTAATATTGGATAATAATAATATTAATAGCCCTTCAAACAAATATTTAAGGTTTTGGAGCTTATTTCTTTGTTTAGGACTCAAATGCAAGGTGATAGAAATGAAATATCACAAAAATTGTATGATAACCCTCCTTATCTCCTTTTTAAATCGATTTTAGTTAATACCTCTGCTAATTATAATTCTACTACTTTTCCCCCTTTATTTTCTACCGATGGTGACTCACGTCATCAAGCTTTTAAATATGAATACTATTGACGAAGAGTGATTTGTTGAATCTCTTTGTATTTTTTACGTTAATCAATATATATAGTATGCTAAACATGCCCTGGTGCACAGGATGTTCATCACGGTAACGGAACACAGTCCATGTTTTACGATGACCCTCATGTACTGTACATGTCATTGCATCGTTACGATGAGGGATTGTTCTTCCCTGGTACCGGCGCTCCTCAAGAGGTGAGAAAACTTGCGTGAATTTTCAACTCACTGTGGGAACCGACCTGAATTCGGTACTTCGGTAGATTCAAATTACTCTAGGAACAGACCTGGGGCCATACTTTCAAAACTCGCTAAGTGAACGTAAGTACTTACGCTCTATTTTCTTGTCTATGATTGGTGGATTTGGCTTAAAAGGCCGCCAATGATTGGCTGATGAACTTACGATCTCTTAACTTTTTTTGAAAGTATAGGCCCTGCTCTTATCAAATATGAGTTTAAGCTTAATCATCTACGATAATAATAGTGAAGCACGATAGTTTAGACTCCACTTCACAGTCTTATCAGTACTGGTATAGAGAGACTAATCTATTAATGAAATATTTGTAGTGCAATCTGTTTCATGCGTTTGTAAGGACCGACAATGCGTTCACAAAAATTTCCTCGAAGGGCTTCTCTGTAACCTAAGATTTGCTAGGTCACGTTTTAATCGAAAATATTGTGAATTCTCTTGGCATTTTCTGTGCGATAACATATCGTAATATTTTGATATTCAAGCAGTCATTTGGTCGAATACTTGAGCAATACCAAATTTGTGAAATAAAATGTATTAATTCTGCCCTGATGTCGTCCTCCGTATTATGTTCCGTGTTGACCAGGTTGGCGAAGGGGACGGGAATGAATTTAATTGAGCAATACCAAATTTGTGAAATATAGTGCATTAATTCTGCCCTGATGTCGTCCTCCGTATAATGTTCCGTGTTAACCAGGTTGGCGAAGGGGACGGGTATGGGTTTAATGTTAACATCGCGTGGTCAGGAAGTTTGAACCCTCCGCTAGGAGACGCGGAGTACATGGCAGCTTTCCGCACCGTTGTCATGCCCATAGCCAAGGTCAGGCATCATAACTATCACCATGTTATTGTTTTAATAACAAGGTCAGGCATCATAACCACTTGCATGTTATTATTTTAATAACCAAGGTCAGCATCATAACCACCTGCATGTTATTGTGGATATTTTAATAACCAAGGTCTGGCATCATAACACTTGCATGTTATTTTAAATATTTTAATAGCCAAGGTCAGGCACACTGGGTAGCTGCATGTTATTGTAAATAATTTCATCAAATAATTTCTTTTTGAACACTAACATCCGGATAGAACGATACTCAACATGAAATCAAAAATAGAAATTGAATTTTCTCAGGAAATTTCAGGGTTATATTATCAGAAGATTTGCATCTTTTGCATTATAAACATTTCAACCTGAAGCGAGATAATTAATTAATTTTTTTTTCAACATTCCGGAGAATATTCTAATGATTAATTACATTAGGGGAATTTCAATATTTCAAGTCGATTCAGCGATGCCAGCAATTTTGAGTTACAAGAAGCGGTAATTGCCGCGTTCTATTGATATCTTGCAAGGCGCATGCGGAAAAGATAACAAATTACATCAGAAGCAACTGTTAAATACCCTTAAAAGTGTTAGTTTGTAGCGAACCTAGAAATTACGACTTTTAATAAACATATCCTTTTTCCTCTAACTTGGCAACACCGTTAGGAAGTTAACCTCGCGTTCTAGTTTGTCCCTTAGTCAGTATAGCCCAGCCAATCCATAACAGCAGGTTAGTCAAGATTTAGATCTCTAAGATAGGTTTCTTTCTTTATATGCGTAACTGGTTATATTGTACTATTATTTGCCTCATCAAAGTCATCATGGTTACTTATAAGACATACTTCTCGAACAGGTTCTCACGTTGCCAAGGGTATTATTTCTATTATTACGGTTATCATTTCCGTATTCTTTGCCGTATCAAATAAATTCACTTGATCCAGTTCGATTCATTTCCGATCTTGTAATTTCCTCACTGTGCGAGTAACGTACGGCAGTTATCCCACAAATTCTTCTTCAAAGAAACTGTACAGATGTCGAGTTTCCCTAAACTTTGCTAAGATTATCCTGATTATATTGATTCTAGATTTACTCGTGTCTATTAAATACACTTATTTGTGCTCTTCCTGCTAATCTGGTGGATTGTAGATCCCCTGCTAAATGATTTACTCGTGTCTATTAAATACACTTTTTTTCTGTTCTTCCTGCTAATCTCTTGTGTGAGCTTTAAGCTGAAAATGGTGTTTATGTATCAGGACTTCAACCCCGACATTGTGCTGGTGAGCGCTGGCTTCGATGCAGCAGACGGACACCCTGGTCCCCTCGGGGGCTATAAACTCTCCCCCGCAGGCTTCGCTTACATGACCTCTCAACTCATGACCCTCGCCAGGGGGAAGGTGAGCAGTTCATTAAGCCAATCGTATTAGACTTTAGGGCTTCATTTAAGTAACTTATTATTTAAATATATAAAGCTATATCCATTTTGATTTTAGAAACTTAGACACGAAAAGACGAGAAATAATTCTTCCTCGAATGATCCAAATTTCTTCCTCGAATGCCAAAAAGTGTTTCGGTATTGAAATATAGAAAAGAAGACAGGAAAAATTAAAAAAAATATACCTTTTTTCATGCTCAGCGAGACCTACGAAAACGTTTTATTGCTGGTCTCGCTGTGCATAAAAAATATTTAATATTTTTTGATAAGAAATAGCATCACCGCAACTCGCGTGACATGAAATATTTTAAATATATTTGTTGCAGGTTGTGCTGGCCTTGGAAGGCGGGTACCACATTCCCTCGGTGTGTGACGGAGTAGAGGCGTGTGTGAGAGCACTTCTTGGAGAACCTCTACCTCCTATACCCGCCCGCCACACGCAACCCTGCCAGCCTGCCAAGGATACGCTGCATACCGTCATCGCCATACAGGTACACGGAGAGCAATAGGTGGTGATTGATCTACCGTATGATACGCATCTACAGTTACTGGTAGATCTAAAGGGTCTGGCAAGTCTTCAGGTTATAAGTAATATTGATTGATCTACTGTATTTTAAGCATCTACAGTTCTGGCAGATCTAGACTAAAGAGTCTGGTAAGTCTTCAGGTTATGACTAATCGGTGTTGATAGATCTACTGTATTTTACGCATCTAGTTTCCGGTCGATCTGAAGAGTCTGTCAAATCTAAAAGTTCTGACAGGTCACCAGAGCGAATAAATATACCGTATTTACTTCGGATTGCGGCTTGCCTTATGCATGCGACTTGTGCACGCGAATGTCTTATTCATAAGACGTGAGCACACGGATTTCATCTCAAATTGGTCATCACGAAGTATCGATTAAGTTAGTGACTTAATTTCGTGAACAAAATACCGAGCAATAAATGTGCAACGATGCTTGCATCTCTTACTTGGAAAAAATGAACTTTTTATGGAAAACCAATACATTTGAATTATATTAATCTCCTATGGTGAGTGAATAGACTTAGTAACCCTTCTAATTATTTTAATGCCATCGATTCGGCTTTACGTCAACAAATGCTGATCCATTCAATTATTTAATTTGGCCAATTGAAGAACTTGTTGCCAGAAATTATGGTCGATTAATCAGATGTCATAATATCATCAGGATCAAATGAATTCATAACAAATTTTTTCTTATGCGCATGTTAGGGGCGCCGGAAATTAGACTCTTAATCTGAATATCGAGAAACTATTGTCTTGCAGAGCTGACCGAGTACTACTGTGTTGCAGAGCTGACCGAGTGGCGAGTACTACTGTGTTGCAGAGCTGACCGAGTACTACTGTCTTGACGGGCGGCCGACGTCCCGTGTAAGCGACCTCTTGTTCGAGTGTCTTCGTTTCTGTTGCTTTTCACCTGTCCCTCCTTGTCACTTCGTCTCTTTACTCTTTGAGATGCTAACGCTGCTTCTTTCGAGCCAGCTTCAGCGGGCTGGACAATTGAGACCTTCCGCCCCTTGTGGGTGATGAATAATTGAGGCCTTCCACCTCTATGGAAATGTTCATCTTGACTTTCGGTGCGAGATAGCTAAATAGCTGAAGCGCTAGTAAACATTTGGCCACTAAACTAACTAACTCGAATGATGGGCCAAAAAGTGTTTCGGTATTAAAATATAGAAAAGAAGACAGGAAAAATTATAAAAAAATATTTTTTCATGCTGAGCGAGACATACGAAAACGTTTTATTGCTGGTCTCGCTGTGCATAAAAAACATTTAAGATATTTTAATAAGAAATAACATCACTGCAACTCGCGTGACATGAAATATTATGGTGCAGGTTGTGCTGGCCTTGGAAGGCGGGTACCACATACCCTCGGTGTGTGACGGGGTAGAGGCGTGTGTAAGAGCACTTCTTGGAGAGCCTCTACCTCCTATACCCGCCCGCCACACGCAACCCTGCCAGCCTGCCAAGGATACGCTGCATACCGTCATCGCCATACAGGTACACGGAGAGCAATAGGTGGTGATATATCTACTGTATTACAAGCATCTACAACGTTTGCTCTGACTTCAGATTTTATTCTTAATGATTTACTGACACGCATAAGTTTAATTGTACTTGAGATTTAATTGTTCATCAGACAAATCTAAAGGGTCTGTCAAGTCTGAAAGTTCTGACGGCTCACCAGAGCGAAGAGGTAGGTATATTACTTCGGATTGCGGCTAATTTTTATGGACAAACAATACATTTAAATGATATTAATCTTCTATGGTGAGTGAATAGACCTAGTAACCATTCTAATCATTTTACATGCCATCGATTCGGCTTTACGTCAACAAGTGCTGATCCATTCAACTTGTTAATTTGGCCAATTGAAGAACTTGTTGCCAGAAATTATGGTCGAATAATAACATCAGGATCAAATAAATTCAAAACTAAATTCTTCTCATGCGCATTTTGGGGGCGCTGGGAATTAGACCTTTTATCTGAATATTGAGAGACTGCTTTCCTGCAGAGCTGACCGAGTACTACTGTCTTGCAGAGCTGACCGAGTACTACTGTGTTGCAGAGATGACGGAGTACTGTGTTGCAGAGCTGGCCGAGTACTACTGTCTTGCAGAGCTGACCGAGTACTGCTGTCTTACAGAGCTGACCGAGTACTGCTGTCTTGCAGAGCTGACCGAGTAGTACTACTGTATTGCAGAGCTGACCGAATACTGCTGTCTTGCAGAGCTGACCGAGTACTCCTGTCTTGCAGAGCTGATTGAGTACTCCTGTCTTGCAGAGCTGACCAAGTACTACTGTCTTGCAGAGCTGACCAGGCAGGCGGGGCTGGTGAACATGACCGCGGCAGAGGCTGAGGGTCGGCAGGAGGAGCAAGACACGGTCTCCGCCATGGCATCGCTGAGGGTGAACACCTGCGCCGCTATGGCCGCCGTCGCTGAGAGCGTCCTTGTGCAGGCCAACGCCGTGCGCCAGATGATCGTACCGCTGCCCAGTGGCCTGCCTCCCAGACTTACGCCGTCATCGTCACCCTTACCCCCCACTCCTGAAAGGTCAGTTGGATCTCAATTATTCATTTCCCTTGCGCCCATTTCGTATAGTCTGGTATCTAATTTAAAAGGATTGTGCACAATTGTGGAGAAATAATTTTTATTTTTGAAATACAATTTGTGAAATTGGTACTTTTTAATATTACACTCGTGTTGAGGCTCTTAGAGTAGAACAAAGCAGGCCAACTTATTAGTGAATTAATTTGTACTCCTGCAATTGACTTCATTTCACGGTTGGAGAAATATAATAATACACATGCAAAGACAGAATGGTTAAGAAACGTTATATAAAAATATTATGTATTTATGTACACTGAAAAGATTAAATGTTGATTGGATTAAATCTCATTTAACCATGCTCAATTTAATATGTCTACAACTATACTTATTTGTAGCATATTCATCTCTTCATCAGAAAAGTATCCGACTGGCGACCTTTAATATATTGTACTATACATATATTTGTATGGTTAGGCAGAAGTTTTTCTTTTATGCAAGTTTTATTAAAGACCAGAGCGTATTTCTTATTAATGATTTTCTTATTAATTTTCTCGATGCTGCGAACTAGGCTTTTTGCGGGATTTGAAAGTTCAAATATAAGGTTTCCAAATGACATTTTATTTGACTTTACGACGTTTCGAATATTCCATATTCATTATCAAGTAAATGAATTGTTTTACAACGCTTGAAATTGAAATTTTGGGATGACAATAGTAGGTAAAAAGGGTATAGTGGTTACAACACAAAATTGCCTCGATTCCTAGTTCGCAGCATCGATAAAACTAATAAGAAAATCATTACTATACATATGTACATGTATCCATCTTAGATTGTTGACCAAAAGAAGAAGTTGCAGGCTATTACTAATATCTATTAATATTAGTATTATTACAAAATGCATGATATAACGAAACATATTTCAACAGTACAAACACATCTAAAAGAACTTCCTACCGATGATGATAAATACTAGATAAATGAAAATAGTTCGTGTATTGTATTAATGCAGTGCGAGCACAATTACGATGATATACTATCAATTGCCATTTCATCACTCTAGGAATTTATCATTGCAACTTTCATCATCATAACAGTTCATCATTGCAGATAGTGATAAATACATATGAAATGCAATATGAAAAATAAATACATATGGGTGTAAGCTAGCTTAACCTAACCTATACGTTGTGTTGGTCATAAAATGGCCTTTTACCTAACCAGAGGATGGTACATGTGTCACACAATACACTTCGTTTATTATATGATGTCTAATTGTTCAATGTTCAGCATGTTAATTGTTTAATAACACTTACATGTATCTATGTTTGCAAAGTGCACTTTCCGAAATGATGAAATTTTATGCTGATGAATCGCCCAAAAATGCAATTCTAGACAGTTCAGCAACTTCACCAAAAAAATCAATTAAAAATATTCGATTAGTGAAATCTTCATATAAAAATGGCTTTATATATGCAGACTAAAAATGTCGGTGGCGAAATAATATATCCATAAAGACAGTCTTCGTGTAAACCAGGCTTTATACATGCAGACCAACGATGGCGGTGGCGGAATAATATATCCATAAAGACAGTCTTCGTGTAAACCACGTTCTATATTTGCAGACCAACGATGGCGGTGACGGACTGTATCCCGATGGTGGGGGGCGACGAGCCTCGCGTCGTATCATCGCCTGTTGCTCCGCTACCAGACGAAGAAGAGCCCATGGAAGAAGACCAGGTTCCGCTGCAACAAAAATAAATTATTGTGAGCAGGACACGTAATAAAGTAAAAATTTGTTAGATGGAGACTTAGTAGAAGTACGGTATGAGGTTGGGAGGTAATAAAAGCACACTTGTGATCCGAGGAAGTCAAATGTGTTACATTCATAAATAAAAAAAACCCTAATTACACGTATTTTGCGAAACGGACATTTAGCGGTATTTGTTTCATATTAATAAAGTACAATAGGTATTGAATAAATTTTAGTAACAGGTAGATATTGCATCGGGAAAATTATGGCAAATATTTTAAGGTCCTGTTCAACTTCTTTTCCACTAGCTTAACACAAAATGTGCAATACGGAATAAAATTATTTTTTTAGCAATTGATTCATGACTTTTCCAACATCTTACGCAAAAAAATCAGCGAGATTTGATCCTAATAGCGATGTACATTTTTCCTTTGTATGGGTCATCTACACCTAGTGTGGCCCGGAAAAGGATATAGCACAGTTACTCGCGGACAACAAGTCATTATTTTTACATTATGGTCCAATCATTTTTTTGAGTGCTTGTTAACACCATGGACGTCTCATTAGGCTTTGCATTTTCTAATTATTTTATAATTGATGTGACAATAGCGCCTCCTTGTATTGCGTTGGAGTTCTTCAGAGGCATGAATTATCGAGGGTCGAGTGGACAAGTGTACCGAAATGATAATGTAGCGCATTTCATGGACGGAAATTTGGTGAGAAAATAGCATGCAGTAATTCCAGAGCTAGTGATTAGTTATTGTGATAGCATTAGGTTGAGTGTGCGTGAATTCATGTTGGTTGGAACTCAACGACGGTGAAAGAAAATGCAAGAGTTTTGGTGTTGTGTCTGTGATGCGCAGTTTCCACTCATGGTGTTTCCACGACAACTCGCTGTCCGTGTATCCTCAACTTAAGTTTGTAACGGCAAACCAGCAAGAGAAAACGAAGCCTCTAAGGTACTTCTTAGTCTAATATTAAGGGTTAAGTTTGACCTTCAATAGGAATGCTCAAGTAGGTCTGCTTTCTGCTGCTATCACTAACACCTCGGTTAGGATAGACGTGTACCGTGATACTCACCCTTACAATAAAACTATATTCCCTTACCGGTCAACAAAGGTGAGCTTTCTTTATGTAGGAACGACCGTTAGCAAATAGTTGGTCTTGAGATAAGTGATGAAGTTCATAACTTCACGTTCGCTAGTCATCACTTGCACTGGAAATAATAAGCTATTGGGACCTTCCGAAAATAGGTGTTGAACCTTGTGCAATCCACGTGTTTCATGTTGCTTTGTAAGCAATTTTCCGTTGCCCGTCTGTAAATGTTTAACCTCAACAGCGTACTGAACACTGTACATTGTACAATAATGTATGATGAATGTCTATGAATATCATTATTTTAGGCACGAATAAAACAAGCGAGAAAACGTGCTTATGCGGAACATGACTGATTTTTTTTGGTAAAGCTCAGCCCTTCGATGAACTAATCTTCATGGTATCCACGAGAAATTGCTGGCAATTTCTTCAATTGGAATAAACAATTTATGGAGGTAATAATTTAAGTGTTCGTTAGAATATGTTGGACGTACAATTTTGTGCAGATAAATGTTGTGTAGAAATTTCATGTTGTTTTCCCTCCGACCATAACACCCCTGTAGCCAATTTGTGCTTTCTCTCGTGACCATTAAAGATAAAACTAATTTCACGTACTTTCAACAATGTTTAATGCGCAAATTTATGCATTCTAATTTTCTTTTTTTTTTTCAAGGGAACGACTATATTTTACTGTTGAGAAACTCTCAGCCCGATTGTGCGGTAAATTGTTTACGTTAACTATCAAGTTCACGTATAATTTTTGTATTATTTCACTTTTTCTCGTACGCATGTGTGCTCTTATCCTTTGATTATGATGAGCTTAAATTAGTGTGTGGATTAAGGAATATGTTCTTCAACTTGGTGTCGAACGATTTCGTTTTTTGTATTGTAAATAGTTTTTTGCGTTGTTAAAAGTAGGGTTTTTAATAAGTTGTTGTTTAGGTGTTTTCTGTTATGTGCATTCTCGAGCATTTGAGTTTAAAACGAGTGTGCTAGAAGAGTTCATTCAATGTTACTAAGTTTCGCAAACCTTCCGTTTGAAATTGTGATGCTTGGATCAGCGTCGTGTAAGATCGTCTCGCTAACATTTACCCTTTTTTATGAATCTCTAAGTCGCTATGAATTGGCTTCTGTTTTGCCTAATTCATGCAAATATGTATGGGCTCCTCTCGAGCCAATCATTCTGATGTATTATGGCAACCAATAGTTATTAAATTTATCAAAGACCGAAACATTTAAACCTTTCGGCGGTGACAGCCCGCCATTTGACCCCTGTCTGTTGAGCAACGAGTGACCATCGATTTGTGCACACGAGTTGATCCAATTTTTAATGTTCTAGATTCATCGTTACTCTTGAAATCGTAGTTTATAGACGTCGCTCAACAATTGACAATGGATCTTTCGTCGCCATGGAAGCTGAGGGCGCGTTGCTCAAGCTGTGTCTTTTTCTTATTTTGTCGTGGCGAGTATACCTACAGCCTGGAGTCCCAAATTGTTGTGCTTGTAGTTTTACATGTTGATAGTATTCGGGTTACGGTGTCCTACATGAAGCCATTCTACCTTAGAAGGAAATGTAGAACACGTATAAACTATAGGGTTTATTGCTTAATTTATCAAGATCTCTGCTCGTTAGATATTTAGTTTTATTTGATTATGTTTGATTTGTGTACGGCTGACGCATCTCAATGTACAACTCTGTCCTGTCCTTTCTTGTGGAACAAATTATTGTTGTCCTGTGAGGCTTTTATGGGAATAAATTTATAAAATAGTTTGTGATTGTTGTTTATGGCGTTATGTGTGATTCCAGAGTAAGTCAAAAGCGTACCAAGTAGGCTGTCCATTAAGTTAATATTAATGGTCGCGATCAATATTGGTTGAAATTCTTAGATATTTATCAAATTATTTATGCATAGGAAATCAGATGAAGATTATATAATCCATAAGTGTTTTCAGGAATGTTCATGGGCTTAGAAATATTTTTGTTAAGAAATACATTGATATATTGTTAGAATTGTTTGTCTTCTCCTTTAACTGTGATTATTTAGCGATTTTTTCGAGGAAATATTTATTAGATCTAGCCATATAACTGCTTTCTTTCAGTAATCCAGTAAGTCAGTTTAGCTTAATTCGTATAATTTTACCTTATCATATCGTGAAAAAACAAGAATAACCCATAAATTACAATTATCATAACAATTTTGTCCAATTCCTTATGATCGCTGCACTTTCGGTCCTCTGCTTTGATCCCTGTAAATCCGCTCCTGGTCTATGCAATTCATTATTTCAGCTGCTACGCCGAAAAAAAAATACGTTTCAATGGAGTGATGTTGGACGTTAACTACGCAAAACTTGCGTAATAACCGACTTCGTCAGTAATCTGTGATCCTTCTAAAAAAATGAGATTTTTTCTCTACGTTCTAAGCTTTGTCACCTAATTTCAATCAATTCAACTTGCCACAAACACACAGTTTTTCGGACAAAAAGTGTACCACGTACCGAGAGGATAAACATGACATCCATACATTAAAATGCTATCAATGTTTTAAAATTTTCATCGCCAATTGCTGTTCAGTAAATGTAATTAATGGAAATAAATTGCCAAAAGTAACATCTGCGTAAGTGCCCGCAATATCGTCCTACACATGAGCACGGGCAACCGTCAGTCGGGAGGCAGCCGTGGTCGTGAGAGGGTCAGTGCACTTGCAGGCGAGCGCTTATCATGACTCGCAGTCCTAAAAGCCGAGGCGGTGCCTCATCAAGGATAATATTCGCGTGCATCCTAATTTTCGCAGGAATATTCCACGTGAGTAATGTGCATTATATTGAGCTTCAAAGCAGTATCATAAAGCGCGCAAAAAAAATACACAAGTTCACTAAATCATAATTATACCCAAAAATTTAATTTCAGTTTAAGTATTAAAAATAGTTGCATCTGTCCGAAACTCAATGCTTATACTATATAGATTCAAACAATATGATTAGGCTCAGAGCTACCGTTCGAACTTATTAATGTTAACAAAAATAAATGGATCGCGGAATAAGTCTTCTACAATGAAAATCTTACCACAAACTGTAACATGTACCAAGTGTCGAATTGTGCAGATTAATCGCACTAGACTGGTTTAAATACTGTGTAGGTAAAATTATTCTATGATTCAGTTGCATTACAAGAATAATATAATGTGGCAATATAATACCGGCGAATTCCGTCAGCGATCACACTCTATTCTCTCGGCTCATCCATCTTACGATCTCTCGTTACCTTCTCGCACAGATAAGAATTTGGAGGCCTCGAATTCGTAAATTAAATAAATTATAAACGTTGTTATAGTGTTGCAAAAATATTCATGTAAATTCACCATCATCTCGGCTCGTATAGATTCGATCGAAGATTATTTCACTGCAATTTACGTGAGCATCAGGATATAACGCGAATCATGTGATAACAATGTGAACATCACGACATAACGTAAAACCCTCCGATAACAATGTTATCATCACGACATAACGCGAATCCTGTAATAACAATGTGATCATCGACATAACGCGAATCCTGTGATAACAATGTTATCATCGACATAAAGCGAATCCTGTGATAACAATGTTATCATCGACATAACGCGAATCATGTGATAACAATGTGAACATCACGACATAACGTAAAACCCTCCGATAACAATGTTATCATCATGACATAACGCGAACCCTGCGATAACAATGTTAATCATTACGACATAACGCGAATCCAGTGATAACAATGTGATCATCACGACATAACGCGAACCCTGCGATAACAATATGATCATCACGACATAACGCGAACCCTGCGATAACAATGTGATCATCACGACATAACGCGAACCCTGCGATAACAATGTGATCATCACGACANGTCTCTTATACACATCTAGATGTGTATAAGAGACAGGTCTGTCACCGTCATACCACAACGTGAACCTGATAATCAGTCACCGTCATACCACAACGTGAACCTGGTAGTCTGTCACCGTCATACCACAACGTGAACCGGTTAATCGCATCGGTGATCGACACATCACAACGTTGACCTGGTAATGAAGACTGCGATCGTCCGACAACGCGAGATCTCCCGCAAATGTCGCAATTATAATTCAGACGCACCTGACATTGCTTGGGAGAGTCCTTGGTTCCGAACAACAAATGAGACAAGCTGATTAATGTCAATGCGGTGTCATCAACCTGTGAACCTGCCAGCAAGGAGCACTACTGGGCCACGATTATCAGACATGCAAAAAATTACTTCGGGAGTTAATGTTTCAAGTTAAATAATAAATGTCAATAATTAATTTCAAGTTAAATAATAAATGTAAATAATTAATCATACCCTTGAACACGAGGATTTTTGAAGAACAGCAAATGGTAATTCTGAGTCTAGTATGCAATTTAAAGTCAGATTAATCCATAGCTTATTATTGCCATTATACGATTACGACTCTCCTGAACTTAAACGTACTGATAATAATGGTGGCCAAAATGAACTCGTCAAGATGTCGTGGCCAGTTTAAACACCAAGTAATCCTACTGCCATGTACACAAGGTAATTTAAAGACAAACCACCCAGCCAAACTAAGGGCAAATGAACTAGAGTTTCCGCACGACTCTATTATACGACGACACAGTCCTTATCAGGTGCAAGACGCTGCACCCAAGGTCTGGTCAACCGCCGATAAAGCCGTGTCGTAATGAAAGGCTCTTCGTCTGGGTAATTCACTGATAAGTTTAATTGCTCAATTAACTCGCACATACGATCGCCATGTCAGCAAAATACGTAATAAGCATACATTTTTTCCAGATCTTTTTGGTAAATAAAGTAAATGGAGGTGTTGACGAGAGAACAGACGTTCGACCTCCGTTGTATTTCAGATTGTATTATCGAAGTAAAACAGAGAATTAAATTGTTGTTATCAGTAAATTCATCCTGACAATACGTCTATGAGTAATTTTATGAAGCACCAAAAGAGATAGAAAGTGAGGGAATCGTGCCGTTTTCTATACATGTGACGTTTGAAGAAGATAACATATTCCTGCGATTAAGAACGATAGTGTTGAGTACTGGGCAACCTTCCCAGTAGTTGCCAAGATGAACAGATGCTATCAAAGAATCGGTGCCACGACTTTGCGATACGACTTTCGCCATCACTTCCAATACAACTTTTACTATCTACAATAACATCTAACCCCATCACCACGCGAAATGAGTTTTGATTAAGGCTCGTCATACCAGTTAACGGAGCCCGCAATTTCGACAGACGTAATAAATAAACTGCAATAATTTTGCAGACAATTTTCATAAAATACACGAAATTACACATTTTCAGGCCTATTTTGAATATTTTGAATTGCGCTAAAATAATATGCGTTTAAAAATTACTTTTTAAAGACAACACTTCACGCACATACTATCGCCATGTCAGCAAAATACTAAGCATACATATTTTCCATATCTTTTTGGTAATTCAAGTAAACGGAGGTCAGTTGACGAGAGAACAAACGTTCTAACTCCGGTTGTATTTCAGTAGATTATCGAAATACAACTGAGAATTGAATTTTTGCCATCAATAAATTCACCCTGACGATACATCTATAGGAGTATTTTTACGAAGCTCCAAAAGAGATAGAAAGTGGGGGAATCGTGCCGTTTTCGATACATATGTCGTTTGAAGAAGATACATATTCCTGCGATTAAGAACGATAGTGTTGAGTACTGGGCAACCTTCCCAGTAGTTGCCTATAGATGAATGGATGCTATCAAAGAATCGGGATCACGACTTTGTGATACGACTTTCGCCATCGCTTCCAATACAACTTTTACTGTCTACAATAACATCTAACCCCATCACCGTTCGGAATGAGTTCTGATTTACAGACTCGTCATCCCAGTTAACGGAGCCCGCAATTTCGAAACAACGTAATCAATAAACTGCAATAATTTTGCTGACAACTTTTAAAAAATACACGAAATTACACCACATTTTTAAACCCATTTCAAATATTTTGAATCGCGATAAGAAATCCACGCCAAACGAGTTATTTAAATGCATGGTACTTAATGATTAATAAACACAACTGAAATTATAAAGTTGGGAGCATCCAAAAATTAATCATTATTAATGATTAATTTTTTATTAAATTTTATTTTATTCCCTCTTAATGGTTATTAAAATCAGTAAGAGTTTCAGATTGGAAAACAATCTCAACGCTGGTTTTAAAGCCAATTAATCAAAGAAAGCACTAGCAGGTTTTATTGCACTGTCGGAACACAGGAAGAAGGCAGCAAACCTGGGTAATTATACTGGAATTAAACGACGCTCTTAAGGGGTACAGGAAAAGAAACCCCCACAAAGGTCAGAATGATCAAGTTTCTCGGTCTTACGGTTTGAAGTTGTATAGCTTCTCTGCAGTATTTAGCGAGGAAAAAAAAACTTCAGAAGCAGGGAAATGATTTTTCTTATGCCCATATGAGAGCAGCGCGTTTTGCTTACAATTTGATGACGGGAAATACGCTTCTCCTACAGACTTTTATGTTAAACGAATTGTCACTGTACCGTAAATATAGAAATTAATTTATTTAATATAGAAAATAACTAAAAATTTAATGTTTTGACGTACTGGTAAAATATTCAAGGTAGTAAATACGTTTCACGTGAATTGTCAGCAATAAGTAGTAATTTTTAACAGAACACAGCCGAAAAAGATATCGAAGGCTGTTCAGTGGCTGAGATCGAGGATGAGAGATCTGGTCCCACAATCTGGCATCAGGCGCTTATTAGATTCATGCTGCAAGGTCTCCTATCATCAAGGTGGATACGCACTCTTTCCTACTGTACACTATATATACCCGGCGATGTAGTCTCTTCATTAGTGACGCGTAAATTGTGCCTCTGTAATTGCTAAAACGTTATTCAAGAGAAAACACTATTAGCGTTTTCCTTGACAACTGAATCTTGGGGATCCAGGTTTATTTACGACCCTATATTAACATTTAATGCTAGGGCTAACCGTGCCAAACTTAATGAGAAAAAGTAAATTAAATGCGTCAAACCGTACAAACGAACACGTGAGCTTCAAACACTCTTATTCGTCCTATCGTCAAACACGGCGTGCACAGGAAACAACCGCAAATAACGATATGTGCTCCAGCAATCGTTGGTTTGGAACGAACAACCTCCATCTCATCCAGAACTTCCTTTGCATCATTAAACTTTGCGTAACTGCTTTCAGTGTATTCAGAAGTAGCTAGTCGATCATGTATGCGGCATACATTTGGAACGTATCGAAACAATGATTCATTTTGCAACAGTAACATTGATAAGTGAATCTTAGTAAATAAAAGAAATGGCATTTGCCGGATAAATTCACTCTAGAATTTCATTTTTAAAGCCAGACATGGTTCATAAATATAAAAATGACATTGAGTCATTAAAAGGTGATGTTCGCATTCTCATTTTCTTCTTAAGCACGCGGTTGGAATTGTGTTCGAAACGCAGCAGTCATTGTTTAATAAGGCGTGAACATAGCGCATGAGGAAAGCACGATACGCACGATCGAATATAGGAACGTTAGCACCCAACGCGGAGAAAGGGCACTCCCGAGTTAATTATCATCGAATGAAAGTATATTTACATCCAAAATATCCATGTTGGAAGAGCAAAATATTCGAGTGAGGCTATCATAGGGAAGGATATTTGATCAGTTTGCAAACCCAAGAAGCGTTTGTAAATATTTCAATAAGCATATCTTTGAATGACCGTGTCAATAAGTTCC